AAAAGACACAGTTTATGGACCTGAGCCTAAATGTTTGTTTCTGTTCGGTGTCCTGAGATGAGTTCTGTTGTGACTTGGCGCTATATAATTAAACTGAATTGAACTGAATTTAAATGCCAGTGTTCAGACGTGTTCACTCTGCTGTGGTGTTCTGCACACAGTCTGCATGTGCCATGAAACTAAACATGTATATATTTATTTTAATAATATAATGCAAGGTTGCACAGGTTGGGAGTGTTTAAACCGCAAATTGGAATATATTGCATTTAACATATCTTTGATGAAGTTAATTCTAAAACAAAATTGGAAAAATAGCATTTTCTGTGAAAATGCAGAGTGGATGCTGAGTTTTAAATAACATCTAAAAAAGATGAAGAAAAGCTGAAATCGCGCTAAAAGTTCAATGTAGCAAAAGGTTAGCTAAAAGTAACAAAATGCAATTAACACTGGCAAAAGACGAGCTAAAAACTCGAAAATCGCAAATTTCTGGCTAATGTAGCAAAACCCTAGCTAAAATTAAAAAATAGCAAAATGTTAGCTAATAGTTGCAATATTGCTAGCAACAAAAATATTCAGGTAGCAAATTGACAGCTAAAAAAGTTCTAGGTAAAAGCTAAACGTATGCTTTCAAATCTTTATGCACAAATCTTTACTGGGAAATTACCATTAGCAGTAGTTCAAGTCAATTAAATTCAGTTTACAGTATTTGTATAGCGCAAGGTCGCAACAGAAGTCATCTCAGAGCACTGAACAGAAACATTCATTTAAATAAAAATTCAATTAGTAACATTATTTATATATGGAAGGGTAGCGTAGCCAGCAGATCGTGTCGAATCTTCCTTTTGTCGCAGTCTCATCCTGAGCAAGCACAAAGGAGACAGTGGAAAGGAAAACCTCCCTCATAACGGGAAGAAACCTCCAGCAGAACCAGGCTCAGGACGAGCGGCCGTCTGCTTCAATCGGCTGGGTTTGAGAGGAACAGGAAGGAGAAACACACAGAATGACAGGTCGAGAATGGAGGCGAGCAGGTCCCTCACTTGGAGGAAAGACAAAAAAAGTTAAAATAGAAATTATTAAAAACTTTCATTTGTATTAATTTGTAACTATTCATCTGATGAAATAAGATCAATTTGACCTCCAGCAGTCTAAGCCTATAGCGGCATACGATAAGGGATACGTCAGGAAACCCAATCCAACACTAACTATCGGATTTATCAAAAAGGAAAGTCTTAAAACTGGACAATGTGTCAGCCTCATGGACAGAAACTGGAAGTTGGTTCCACAAGAGAGGAGCCTGATAACTGGAAGATCTTCCTCCCATTCTACTTTTGGAAACTCTAGGACCCAAAAGTAAACCTGCAGTCTGAAAGTGAAATGCTCTGTTAGGAAAATATGGAACACTGTCATCAGATGATTGTGGATTTCAGAAGGAGCAACTCCCCTGCAGTGGAAGTGGTCTCCAGCTACAAGTACTTGGGGGTGCACCTGAACGACAACCTCAGCTGGAGCAACAACACCACCAGCCTGATCAAGAAAGCTCATCAGAGACTCTACTTCCTCAGGCGGCTGAGATGAGCTGGTCTGGGAAGCTCAGTCCTCACCTCCTTCTACAGGTGTGCAGTGGAGAGCATCCTGTGCTCCAGCATCAACGTGTGGCATGGAGGCTGCACAGCTGCAGAAAGAAAAGCTCTGCAGAGAGTGGTGAAGGCTGCACAGAAGATGTTGGAGTCAGTCTCCCCACCATCACAGACATCTACACCTCCAGATGCAGGAAGAGGGCCACCTGCATCATGAAGGACCCCACTCACCCAGCACACAAACCTTTTGCCCCACTACCATCAGGCAGGAGGTTGAGGAGCATTAAGTGTAGAACCACTAGACTGAGGAACAGCTTCTACCCTGAGGCTGTTAGACTCATGAATCTCTAACCAGGAGAATCACTGTAATGCCGCTTTAATTGATATGTCACTTTATCTGTGCTGCTGATTATTTATGCTGCTGATTTCTTACCTTTAAGCTGCTATATTCATACCTATCTGCTCACAACAGACTCATGTTCAGGCTGTTAGGCCGACTGTGCTGATTTCATGTCTGCCTTCAGTTCAGCTGGTACATTCAATGACCAATCCAGACAGCCAGATTTGTGGGCATTCCGCTGGTCCGTGCTTGTTAGCTTTCTCCAAGGTTGATCCTTCATGCCGGCGAGTTCTAGGAGCCACAAGTGGCCTACGATTCTCAGAAATCACGTCCAGGTCACAAAGTCTGTTCACTCAAAGCATGGTTCAAGCCTTCACATAAGGCAGGCAGCCTCATTATTACCAAAACTGCTGCCGACGTCTTCCTAACTTGTCGATATCCCAGGTATCCGCCAATTCCAAAAAGCAGAAACCCTGTTATCATAAATCCAATTATGCATGCGTCTTCTACGTCCTCAACAGACAATACAGACAAGCACATCATCTTCCCTTCACCCCAGGAATCCATGACATATCCAGCTGCATGTGTCCCTTCAGGGCATGAGGGTTCTCCTGCACCCTGTCTCCTCCTCAAGAAAATCTTATCAATTGCGTTGAGGGACCAGCTGACCAGATCCATAATTTACTATTTGGAAGACGTGTAAAGAGAGGCTCTGATACACAGGACAAAGAGCAAAAGCAGGAGGAAGGCAGGAGAGGGAAGAAGAGCGACCGTGTTCATCGAGGGCAAGTCAGAAAAATACACCGTATCGTCCAGATGACCTGACTGAACATGGTTGGATAAACCGTATTATGTTACATTATTAGTGTTTATTAGATCCTTGTATACAGTTTCTTTTTATACTTTATATATTTTTGGTGGGACCTTGGGTACACAATTTCGATCCACCTCATGTGATGCAAATGACAATAAAGAACGTTGAACCTTGACCCTTGATCTGTAATATAAGATGGAGCTAGGTTGTTGAGAGCTTTGTATGTTAGAAGTAAGATTTTGAATTCTGTTCTGAATTTCACAGGGAGCCATTGGAGAGAAGCTAAAACTGGAGCGATGCTGTATGATCTCTCCTGCCAACTCATTAAAACTAGTAGCATTATCATTAGCAGTAGCCCAATTGTAGCATTAGCAGTAGCTAGAATTAGCATTAGCAGTATATTATTAGCTGGAGATTTCAAAGATGCTTTTAAAAGGATTTAAATAATGTGAGTATATTTTATTTAGACTTTTTGTAAATAAAGTTAAATTTCTGAAATTTATAAGTCCCAAAACTCAAAAGTTACAACACCCATCTCATCAAGGAGCTAAAAGTTCTGGGCTATGAACTGTTAAAATATTGCAGAAGTTGATGAACGCTAAAAAACAGTGAAAATGAAAGCCTGAATGCTTCAGTGACACAAATAAGCTATTTCATTTATGTAACAGAGGGAAAAACTTATTTTTAAAGACTTTAGTTGATGAATTAAGGATCTGCACAGCACCCTGCCTTTCCAGGCCCAAGCTGTCGTGCTGAGCTACGAGATATTTTACTAACAGACAGACACACAAACCCTGTTTTCACTGAAGCAAATGGCTCAACAATTAAGAAAAGACAAATTATAGTGAAGAATGTGTTTCTGGAGGATTTTACTTGACATTATTTTAATTAAGAAACAGTTTGAGCAGCCTCATTAAACAAGACAGACCACAATTTATTGTTTTATTAAAACATTATCATGCCCTCTCATTGCTTAACTCTTTGTTTTAGTTTAACTTTCTATTTACTCTCATTTCAATCAAATCACTTCAATATGTTTGATATCACTTGTCTGTGTGGACTGGTGTCTTGGTTTGGACATCACGCTGATCCTCTCTTAATTAACCTCCTCTGGGTGAACTCCTGCTCAAATTGATCATAAACCTCGGCTGGATTGAATTACACTCTAATTATTAGGCCCCAAACCCCCAGGAGCCCCCGCTCGCTGGGACCTCAGCGCGCGCGGGATCTCCTCGTGGGGCTAATTGGGGGGACAGGTAAGGTTACATGTGACAGCAATTAAGCAGAGCGCGGGGCCAACTTTATGGCCTCCGGCGGGCCCCAGGCTCCACGCGGGACCTCAGAGGGAGCTTTGGACTCTTTTAGTGTTTCTGTCCACTCCGGAGGAGCGGAGCAGAGAACAACAGGGTCCACATGTTGGTGCTGGCACCAAGTGGACTGGTTCTGAAGCCAGGGTTCGTCTTTGCTTCTCATCTGGTCTGGATTGCAGCGGAAATGACTTTAGTTTTAGTTTTTCCCTTCCACAAAGATTAATGCGTAAAGAAGCCGACCCACGTGACCAGTCATGACCATAAAAGAATCAGAGACTAACAAAACCACTGACTCGGAACCGGTGCCGTTTTACACTTTTTATGTTTTATTAATTCATATTTGGTGATGTTTTCTTTAAGGTTTCATCCAAAAGTAAAGATATGCTCCAAACATGCCCAGGTACAAACCGGACTCTTAAGGAGGATCTGTGTCTCACGCTGTCATAAAAAAAAAATAAATAAATACTGAACTTTTAACTTTCAGCACTAAACTGAGTTTATAGAATATCCTGATGCATGCTCAAGTTTATATACGTTTAAACGTTGCGCCGCGCACTTTACCAAACTCTAAACAAATTCAAGTTTCCCACCTTGAGGACATTTTTCCACATGTCTAACTAAAGTAGTGGCATAAATCCATTCAGATGGCGGATGCAATCAGCAGAAACGACGCGTGGAGTTTAATGAAGCCGGATTTTATTTTTCAATCCGACGTCCCAGATTATTCCACAGAAACCGCTCCTGTCAATCAAATCCTCCTCCGTCCAATCAGAGCGCGCCTTCGCTTTTCATCAGACTTTGCGTCCAATCGCAGCCCGTCCTTCACGTCCCGCCTCGCGCAGAGGGGAGGAGAAGCTGCCTTATGTGGCGTTTCTTACCTTATATGGAGAACGGCCGGGGGGGGAGGAATCCTGCACCTTCCCCAAACTGGAGCTGCGCCTCAAACACAGCCAGGCAGTCTGAGGACGAACCGACACCGAACCGCAGCGCCTGATTCTGGCCGAACTTCATCAGAGACGCTTTCCTGTGGAGCGCGCAGGAGATTTCTGCGGTGTGTGTGTGTGTGTGCGTGCGCGTGTGTTTTGGTAAATAAATACTTAAGCGCACGTCGTTAATCCGAGCGCGGCGCGCGACACGAAGAGGAACCAGGACTGTCCGGACTGCGCGGCGCGGCTGACTAAAGCCAGTCCAGCCAACATGTGGTCGGCTTGAACAAACCGGAAGCTGCTGCTGGTTCTGACAGCCTCACTGGACCGAGTTTCCCGAGAGGTTCGGCTCTGGAGAACGGCGTGTTTATGGATCTGTGCGCAGCGCGGGTCTCCGGGAGTTGTAGGCTCTGCTGCGGTGCACGGATCACGCTGCGGCCCCGCAGCTGCTCCTCGCTCTGATCCATGTTGGAGCAGATCAGGTAGTTCAGATCTTTGAAGTGGACTGAGCTCAGGAGAAGCGCCTCTTCCCGCCCTCCCTCGTTTCTTCTCACCAACTTGACGTCAGGACGGTCTCACTCTGAATTCTTCTTCTACGCTTTAAACAAAGACCAAGTGTTTGGGGATAGCATGGCAATGGTAGTAAACCAATGGTCAGAGAACATTTCGGCAGATCCGGGCTCTCAGCTCCAGATGTGCGGCCAGGAGCCCGGCGGGGGACCGGGAACTCCCAACGGGTCCACCCCGGGGAACGACGCGCTTTCCGGAGACAAGATCCCCAACGTGGACTGCATGGTGTGCGGGGACAAGTCCAGCGGGAAGCACTACGGCCAGTTCACCTGCGAGGGATGCAAGAGCTTCTTTAAGCGCTCCGTGAGGCGGAACCTGACGTACACCTGCCGGGGGAACCGGGACTGCCCCATCGACCAGCACCACCGGAACCAGTGCCAGTACTGCCGGCTCAAGAAGTGCCTCAAAGTCGGCATGAGGAGAGAAGGTACGCGGCGGGTGTTGTTGATGGGTGGAAGTGGGAGGTTTTGGGCACGGGAGCGCATGTTCGTGCGTAAAAATGTGCGCAGCTTTCTATAAACAGCCTGTCTGATGTTATTCTTAAACCAAGTGATTTAATCCGCCACTTTTGCGATTCTTCTCTTTTTGACACGCGCACAGAGCAGATGCAACTTTTTATTTTACGAAGTTTTCTCAACGCGCCAACATCTTGGCTCAAGCCGCAAGAAAGCACATGAAAATATCACCTTCAGTTACTTAACCGAGTTAGAGGTCAACGTCTCCGTGTCGTGCGTAAAGCCGCAAAGGTTTTGGGTTTCCAAATGGGCTTTCTGCTGCATTCGTGGTAAATAATCAGTGACCACCTGCGGCCCTGCTGCTTAATATTCCACCTTCATTGAGTAGATCCCCAGCCCTGATCCCGCGCGCTGCGCGCCCTCCAACCCTCCTTTTGTTTGCGCTGTTTGCGCACCGACACCCGGAGCCGCTCCAAGAGGACGCGGCTACATTTGTTGCATTGTGCTGGATTACCAACGGGTCAGTTGCTGCCAAAGAGGTTCAGTGGAAACATGTCGGTGAAGAGGAGCGCCTCCACTTATTAATTCTGACTAAACAGCGACGGCCCGTCCACGAGGCGCGCGCGCTGGCGCGGATTTAAAACGGGAACCCAAATGAGGCAAAGCTGATCCTCTAATTGCTGTCGCTGTTGAATAAGGAGATTTATTTTTAGGTGCGCTTGTTATGTGTAAAATATTTAGGGATATCTCACTTAGAGCTGCACAACATTTAAAACAAAAGGAACAACAATATTATTGTTGTGACGCTATGAAACCACATTTTTATCACTTTCTCTTCTGTCTTCATCTAAAAGCCAGTGAGAATCATGGACTGACTAAAGATAAGAAATGCATAAAATGCTTCACCATATCAATATTGCTCTGATTTATTATTCCATATATGATAAGAACATGTTAGTTACTATGTTGCGCACATTGAAGAGCATGTGAGCAATGCTGCAGAGCAGTGCGTTGTCTCCACTTCTCAAAGGTCTGCATGTGAAGATGTCACGCTCAGTTCCCTCCCAGAGGACAGAACTGGGTCAACGGCAGCCAGTCAGTCCTGCTCAAGGACACCAAGTCAGTGGAAGATGAAGGGCAGATAATGTTTGGCCTTTGTTCTCTGGAGCTAAAGGAAAGTGTAAATACAGAGGCGGTGCAGGGAAGATGTGAGCTGACCCCTGAAGGGTTCCTGCAGTGAACTCCTCTCAATGTTCACTCCAGCACGAGAGCAACACTCGCTCACTTCTGTCTGAATGGAGCCGAGGAAATGCGCTGCAGCATGTTCTGATTTATCTTATGACAGTTAAGGATTATTACAAAGCATTTCTTTTGAAAAATGCTCCTCTTAATTATACATTTCCCCCTCAATAATACAATAATAACAGAAAAGGTTAATTCTGCGAACAAACAAAAAAATGTTTTTGAGACAGGAACCTCTGCATTTTAATGTTTGTTTCTCTTTGCTTTGTCAAATTGGTGGATTTGTTTAACTTTTTTTTTTAAAAGTTTGGAGTCAAACTCAAGTGTCAAGTGATGTCATCACAGTTCCTGTTAATTAGAAAATAAAACACTCGGGTTAAATTGCAGGGAAAAAACTACAAAGGTTGCTTCTTTGACACCCAGATAAATAAAATCATACATAATTGTGTAAAGCTGGATATTCATTAATATTTCAAACAATTAATTATTTATGATAAGGTGCATTTCTGGGAGTTCAAAGATTAAATGTCTGAACAAACCAACCCCAGAGGTCGTCCATAAATCTCGTTTTCGGTGATTTCAGCAAGAACCCTTCAACTGCTTTATTCTCAGTTCTGCTACGTTCATGTTTGACAGTTCAAAGCAGCTTCTTCTACTGGAACCAACTCTCTAACCTGAAAAAAAATCAGCATTTAATATCTCCATCCTCCTGCCCGACATGTCCATGTAGAGCACATTTAAACTAGTCTGCCTAAAAAGACATTTTAAGAGAATTTCTGTGCTTTTGAGTGTTTTCGCCTCCATAAAAGGAACGTTTGGCCTCGCTGTGTTGAACGTAGAAAACTTTTCTCCTCTCATGTCAAACATTTCAGCTCTGACTTCAGCTGAAGGTTGGCAGTGATGTCATCGTTTGACCAGGCAGCTCATCCTGCAGCCGCTCCTCCGTCCGAGCAGCTTGAGGCTGAGAGGAATGGACTGCGAGGACGTTTTAATGTTGCGACACTGAATGCACGTCTGCACCACGATGGCGTCGAACTGTCCGTTTGTTTGTGAACTAACTGCCGTGTTTGTGTGTAGTGCAGGAGTCGTGGCTGCTGCCTCGTCTGACCCGCGGCGCTCCCTGACAGAATTTTACAGCTGCAGAAAAATGTAGGTCAAACAAAACTACGTCGTTAATGGCAGACAGGATGAAGTCAAAGTCCAAATGTGTGAACTGTTTAGGGGCCTCTTGGGTGTGTAAACACCCCACAGGAGCGCTCGGTCTCAGCGTGCGCCGACTTAAATAAACAGCAACACGGTGGTTCAGGAGCAAAACGCTGACGTTTCTCCTGTTTAGGCTCCAGAAACCTTCGTTGATCTACAGACGCCTGTCCAGACACTCAGTCATGACTAGAACTAAAAGGCTTCAACCTCCTCCGCTCGTTTTATCGTGCATCTAATGAAACTCAACGTGACCTTCTCATGTGCAGAAACTCACTCCTGATTGTTTTGGTTGCAGCTCGAGCTGCTCAACCTGTTTCAGTGTTGGTTGGGTCACCTGTAGGAACAGCCAGCTGCAAAAGAAGCTCAGATTTAGCTGAAGTTATGTTTCACGCTCTCATTGACACTTGCACAAGTTTTGCTCCTGGTTGATCCAGATGTTTGATTCTAATGTTGAAGCTCCTCTCATGTCTGACGGCTCGGGGCGGTCCTCGGTTTGTTTTCAATCGTTTGTCCTCCGATGGAAACAGGAGGACGGTGGAAAAAGGTCCGAACGCTCTTTGACAAGTTGATAACTGTTGTGTAAGAAGCTGAACCCTGCAGATCCTGAACGACTCAAACATTTACAGAACTTTTTAGTTCACGATTATTGCCTTTCTAAGTAATCGCACCCTAAAGTTCTCAAAAGGGCTCCTTTTTGTTCTGGGAAGGATCTTTATTTTTTTATTGTCGTGCCTTTCTGTTTGAAAGCAGCAGGAAAAGTTTCTATAAAGTCAACATGCAGCAGATTCTTGCACAATCTCAAACAGTTGGGTAAATGGAGCTGACCCTGGACCGGGCCGTGTGGTACCGCAGCCCCACAGTGTTTGTCTGAAGCCACGTTCATTCTTTAGTTGATTAAGCACAAACCCCAGAGGGATAGTTTAATCCGCTGACGTTTCACCCACAATTTGGACTGAAAAACGGTCAACAAGCTTAAAGATGGCGCACAGAAAACACCAAAATGCATTTAAAAAAAAATGTATGCACAATTTATTTTTGCTATTTGTCTCCGTCAGCTTCTTTTACACACTGGCTCCTTTCTGCTGCGGACTGCCTCTCGTTACCCCGCTGTGGTGACCTGCAGGGTCAAAGTTCAGGGCCAAAAATAAACCAGGAGAGCCGCGGGGATATCGCCTCGGTGTCACATCACACACTGCCCTCTCCGCTGGATCCCACATGTGCATTCACACACACTCTGAGACGTATAGAATTACAAGAAAATAAAAAACATCTTGTTTGTAGCTTCAGCTCCACGCTGTTGTTTTTTCAATTCAAGTCAGTTTATTGATCCAGCAGAAGTCGTCTCGGGGCACTGAACAGAAACATTCATATATAAAAATAATAATTTAACATTATTTATCTGAGGAGCAGCTTTGAGTTTAACTCCATCACAGAACTCTCATCTTGAACGAGCATGAAGGCGACAGTGGGAAGGAAAAACTCCCTCATGGGGAAGAAACCTTTAGCAGAACCAGAGTCGGGACAAGCGTCTGCTTCAACCGGCTGGGTTTGAGAGGAACAGATACACAATGGCAGGTCTAGGGCTGAATGATATGGCTCAAACTTTTATCACGATATATTCCTTAATTTCGGTCGATAACGATATAATTCCGATATCGATATAAACGATATAAAAGCCTCAGAAAAACTGTACAAATAAATTAATGTTCACCTTTTATTTGTATTTAGCCTTAAAAAACGAATTCACCATCAAATAAACATAAAACCCTCAACTTTGTCAACAGTTTAAACTTTAAATAAGAACAAACGCCTGCACGTGTTTCTCTTGATACAGCTGGGGGGGGGGTCAGGGACACGTTGGCTCAAACTTTATTGTGCTTCATCTTCAGACTCTCAGCGTCTTCCATCGAGTGGAACAAGTTCCACGTGTTCCCACCGTTCGTTAGAACGACTCTCCGTCACATTTTGCAGCACAAACCTGCAGTTTATCGGACCTTAGAAAGACGAACCACTTCCACACCGGCGGATTAGTCTTTCCTCTCTTATCGGTGATGTCATCTGCTTTCTCTTCGCTTGTGAAATCTTGTTCAGTCACATTCTGACGGTCGTGGGAACTCCATTTTGAAGCGCAAACTTAACGCGCGTTGTAGATTAGCCTAGCCTGTTGCTGCTAACTCGTTCTGGACTCGAGCTCTGCGTAACGTCTACGTCACCACGCACTTGCGTAGTCGTGTCGCGGCTTTTTCTGTTCGGGTTGAAACGGAAGCGTCCGCTTCGACCCGAACAGAAAAAGAAATGCGTCAGTGAAACGTTGTAATCATATCGGAATATCAAATTGTGCTTAAAACTCATATCATCGTTATTGATATATCGTGACGTATATCAGTATCGAATTATTGCCCAGCTCTAGAATTAATTTAGTTTTTAGTCTCAGAATGGGATAGATTTGAGACATCTGGCTCAGGAAGCACGTTCATGTTTTTGCTCACCAACGGAAGCTTTAAAGATGAAAAAGCTGCTTAATAAATGCAACTATTCGAACGAGCCAAAGCTCTAATGCGCCGGTGTTTCTGCAGCGCTCTGACCTTTTAGTCCAAACGTTGATGGGCTTTAATTGTGTTTAGCTGCTGTAATTCCTCCAACGGTCCGACCCAGAGGCGAACCCAGACGAGCAGCCAGCTGCCGTTTGCTGAAGTGGCATTTTGAAAGTCGCAGCTGAAATGTCCCATGGCACCTCCGTTTTTTTTTTTTTTACGCACTTTCCTCCCATCCTGCTCTCATTTCGTGCCTCGACAGATGCTTTCGGATTAGAGCAAATGAATTGTCAGCCTCCTCGGTTTAGGAATAATTTTTGTTTTCTACAATGGCATTTAGACACATTCAGCCTAGCTGCTACTTAAAAAGCAGAAAAATGTTTATAGCAAACACGCCACTCCTCTTTCTCCAACCTCTATCCCCCTTTTTTCCCTTTTCATCTCCATCCCTGACCCGTCTTCTCATTTTTCTTCTCCTCAGGCATCTGCTTCTAATGTCACCTCTGTCTCTCTCTGCCCTTCCATAAGTCAAGACACCACATCTTTCAGACCTCCTCCCTTTCACCCCTTTCGCCTGTTTCTCTCTCTCCCTGTCATTTCCTGTATCTCTGCAGGCGAAGGCAAACAGAGAGCGATGTGTTTCAGTCAAGTGCCCTGCCTCTCAGGCACGAGCGACCCGAACAGTCCGGCTTTTGAAAAGTCAAGTGGATCCACAGCCATCTGCAGAATTAATCACTAATTGATATTTGAGCAGATTAAAAGCTCTGGAATGACAAATCATGTACAAAAGGTCAAAGTGAGTTTTGAATAATCTGACAGCGTTACGATGGAAGCTCTTTAACGTGTAACTGCACAGTCATGACGGTTCCTAAGGAAACCAGATTTAGTCATTCAGAATCTCTTGACGATGCCCTCTAGCGGCACGAGGCCTTGCGCCTCCTGAAGGTGACGAACTTCTGCTCGTTCCCACTCCCTGTGCAGAAAATGCTGCCGTTCTGTCACTCCAAGCCCCTGGCGTGTGAGGCAAAGGTTCAAGGCGTCCTTCAGCGTTGACGCACCCGTCGCAGGGACTCGGTCCTGTGAGGGGGGGCCTGCAGGGAGGTGACGGCGGAGAGGACGCCTGGTTGAAGCAGTAAAACTGCTTGGTTGGGTTTGACTTGTATGAGCAGCAAAGTGGACTCTTAAAGTTGTTTATTGCGTTTAAAAAACGCTAAAGGACGACGCTTCCTCTGAGTTATTAAACTGACTGAATCAAAAGTGACGTGCGAAGCATCTTCTGACAGAAAACTTTAACCGCTCCTAACCGGGATCGCAATTAACTTCCAAACTATTGAAAGTTCTCGAACTCTGGCAATAGTTTCACTAACACGTCACAACTTTTGTGTAGAAGTTCACTGAGCTTTGTTTTTATTTTGTGTGCAATTCAATTAAATTCAGTTTATTTATAAAGCACCAAGTCCCAACAGAAGTCGTCTCAGGACACTGAACCGATACATTGATATAAAAATAATAATTAACATTATTAATCTGAGGAGCAGCTTTGAGTTTAACTCCATCACAGAACTCTCATCCTGAGCAAGCATGAAGGCGACAGTGGAAAGGAAAAACTCCCTCATGAGGAAGAAACCTTTAGCAGAACCAGGCTCAGGACAGGAGGACCATCTGCTTCGACCGGCTGGGTTTGAGAGGAATAGATACACAATGGCAGGTCAAGAAGCGCATGTTAAGATAGAAATAGAATCAAATTTAAACTATTCAATTTTAACAATTCATTTAAGGACATGAGGTCAATTTGTCCTCTAGTAGTTTAAGCCTATAGCAGCATAACAAACCAACCCTAACTATAGGATTTATGAAAAAGTAAAGTCTTAAAACTGGACAATGTGTCAGCCTCACGGACAGAAACAGGAAGTTGGTTCCACAAGAGAGGAGCCTGAGAACTGAAAGATCTTCCTCCCATTCTGCTTTTGGAAACTCTAGGGACCACGAATAAACCCGCAGTCTGAGAGCGAAGTGCTCTGTTAGGAAAATATGGAACAATAATATCTCGAATATAAGATGGAGCTAGGTTGTTGAGAGCTTTGTAGGTTGGAAGTAAGATTTTGAATTCAATTCTGGACTTGACAGGGAGCCAATGGAAAGAAGCTAAAACTGGAGATATGATCTCTCCCAGTAACTCTTACTTTAACTGTGCAGCCTGCACTTTGTTAAAAATGTAAACCTTTGTGCATTTTGATAAAAAGGTAGTTCCAGAAGAGACGTAGCTGTCACCCAGCAGACCCAGTTTTCTCCCGTTCGTGTCCAATCAGCCACTTTCTTTTAAATTTGCTTTCAGTTGACCGTTTTAGTTTTTTGTTAGTTTTTGGCACCTACAAACCAAACAGCCAGATTTAGGTTTAGGGATTAATATTGATCTTGTTTATGTTGGAAAGACTTGTTGGTGGCTGGAATAAATGGATCTTCTCGGAACGTCTGTCCGTGTGACAGATCTCCTCTTTGTGGCGTTCAGGGTGACGTGTAGCGCCCGTCTACAGACTGAGCAATAAGAACCGTCCTCTGAAACACAGTCAGAATAAAAACATGTAGGTTTTGTTTTTGTGTGGGCATTTTATCATCAACTCTGATGGCCTGAATCTGAGTGTTGTAATTTTTCAGATGTTCTGAAATGCTTTAGGAGAAAAGAGTCTATTTGTTTTGCCTCCAGATCACTACCGGTTGTTGTTGCGTTCAGTGAGTTTCTAAAGTCTTTTTCTTTCCGTCGGCACTTTCTCTCGACCAGTTTAAAAGCTTAACGTTAAGATTTGTCTTGCTTCTAAAACTGCAAAGGCAGAAAAAGAGGAAGGACGAGACCTGTTGTGGTGTGAGAGACGAGTCTGTTGTGCAACGTAGTCTTTGACCGACGCGACTTCGTAGAGACTCGGTGCTGTGGGCAGGAGGAGACGTTCCTACTGGGAACGCAGGAAGTTCAGAGGAAAACCAGGACTTTGAAGTTAACACCTTCTCTGCAGGACAGCCTAGAATTAAAGACACTTTTGTAACGCTCGAGTGATTTGAGCTCCGTTTTTCAGACGGTGCGTTCGATGGTTGGGAGGCCACAGGTGATAGTCCTGTGTATCCTTTCACCCCTCCCCCTCCCAGCCTTTACCTATAGAGCCTCGTTTCAGGCTCGATTCAAGCATTTTTCACCTTTCTTCCTCCCCCGCAGCGCTCCACCTCTCGTTTCTCAACTTTTAACCTCTCCCTCTGCACCTTATCTCACCAGTTCAGCCTCATTTTTCTCCCTCACGGCCCCGTTTTGCATTTTCATGGCCTTCCTCCCCTCCCACACTCGCTCCGTGTAACAGTAGATGGAGTTATTAGTCAGACAGTGGCGATGGCCAAACAGGTGTTTTCCAAATGGGCCTTTTGAGCGCTCGCGGCATCATCATCATCACTCCACGCCCGCGGGGGGTTGGGACGTGTGAGTGTTTGTTGGAGAGCTTGGCCTCTGTGTGCCCTCCTCTGCTTCGGGCTGAGCCATTTGCCAGAACACGGCGCAGTGGGAGGGGGACGTTGCATGTATTCATGTGCGGGTGCAGAACAGATGTAGGTGTTATATCTTTAACAGCTGCTGCTTGTCGTTACTCATCGATGCACAACAGCCTTGGCCCGTCCAGCAGCTCGGACACGTTTAGGAGTCAGAAACTGCCGCGGCCCCTCTGCAGCCGACACACACGTCCAGTCCGTTTCTGCTTTTCCTCTCCTTTTAGTTGTACAAGCAGGATTTTAGACGGGTAACCGTTATCAACTACTTAAAGTTAGTTAGAGCTATTAAAATGACGCTGAACGGGTGGAGGGTGGGGGGTAAGACTCATGCAGCTGAATTTACCTTTGTCCTTTCCAACAGCAGTACAACGTGGACGGACTTCAAACTCCCAGAGCAGCCCGGGTCAGTACCTGACCAACGGCGCCGACCCGTACAACAACCAGCCGTACCTTTCCGGCTTCATCTCTCTGCTGCTGCGCGCCGAGCCCTACCCCACGTCTCGCTACGGGGCTCAGTGCATGCAGGGCAACAACCTGATGGGCATCGAGAACATCTGCGAGCTGGCCGCCCGGCTGCTCTTCAGTGCCGTGGAGTGGGCCAAGAACATCCCCTTCTTCCCCGACCTGCAGCTCATGGATCAGGTGAGGCCACGCTGCTCGTCATCAACCACTCTTACCAGATTCAGTTAGGGGGGTGGTGGTGCAGAGGTTAGAGAAGGTGGGCCTGTGATTGGAAGGTCGCCGGTTCGATTCAGACCAACATCAAAATGTGGGTGGGAAAGGTGAAGCACCCACACCTGCCCCACTCTGGGCCCTTGAGCAAGGCTCTTACCTCACCATCTATTCCCCCAGGTGCACTAGATCAGTGTTTTTCAAAGTAAGGGCCGCGCCCCCCCCTGGGGGGCTTCCAGGGGGCGCTAGAGGGGCATCAGAAAGCTGGAGAGAAGAAGAAGAAAAAACTTACTAGAACAAATTATTTCTTTATTCCACGAAAAATAAAAGCGGAGAAGAAACAAACGGACTAAACGGTTCCTCAAACATTTTTATTTTGTGTTTTTCACTTGGATCAAAACCAAATAAAACCTGAACGACTTCAGCTTTCTGATATGAGAATTCCTTCAAAACATCATTTCTCAAAACTCTGAAAAACAAACGATCAATAAATAAATAAATAAAAAGAAGAGCTAACGTTTCCCTTCACGTCTGTTAACGTCACTCAGCAGCTTTTTGTCAGAAACGTCAGCAGCGCCGGGCGTGGACCGAGCTGACGTCAACCCTCCTCGTTCCCGTCTATGAAGAATCACGTGCACGTTGAATAAAACCTTTATTGTCACGCGCACGTCAGGCTGAAGCTGCACCAACGAATCCTAAATGTCTCGTTTGTGAGTAAAACGGACCTCTTTATTTGTAAATCACGTTTTCAACAAAAATATATTTAAGTTTTTCAAATAAATACAAAAGTTTTTATTCAGTTTTCTGCATAACTCACCTGTTTGAGTTTCTGTCATAAGTTCAAGATACAACAGTAAACATTTATAATTTTATATACAGTAATAATAAATAATACATTTTGATTGGCAGTTTATGATCATATCTTGAAAAACATCCTAATTTTAACCACTATAAGCTTTTTTTTTTTTCTCAGTATTTCAACTAAAAGTTTATTTTTTCGACTCGTGAATGTTAAAACCTCACCTCTGAGGTTAAAAACGTTTTTAAATCCAATTCTGATTCTTTGAAGTTGGTAAAACATTTATTTTAATCCTTTTTTAATTTTTTACTTTTGACATGATTTACTGTGAAACCTGCAGTTGTTTGTTGTTGTTTAATTTCTAAATGTTTCATTTCTTAAAGGTCTTACAATATTCCAGGGGTCTTCAAGCTGCGGCTCTGGAGCCACGTGGGGCCCTCCAGTCCTTCTGCAGGGGCTCCATAACTTTAACTAAAAAATGCAACGTTTAAACCGACACTTTCAGCAGATTTCAGTCCAAATATTTGCAATATATATTTATATGTAATGCAAATATATAAGTATATATAACTTCCTATGATATCGTAAATATAAATATGTTGCTTGTCTGTGTGTACAAAGTTTTTTTTAAAAAACATTATTAAACCTTTTCCATTAATTGATAATTAATTGTGCACACTTTTTCCACATGTTGGGGTTTTACTAAAATATGTTTTAAATTCACTTTTATGTTTGAGCTAATAGTTTGTTAGCCTGTTAGCATTTTTCTCAAGTTTTCTCCAAAATCATCAGATGATGCACATTTTTCAACATCCTTTGTTCAAACTGATGTAAACCGGAGTTAAATAAGGCTGTTTGATCTTTTTATGATTTTACGCCACGTCTTTGTGTTTTATCTGCCCAACTTTAGGACAAGTTTATGATCATTTTCTCCTTTTTGTTCTAAAAAATGAGAAACAATAAAAAGCAATCATAGAAATACTTCAAAATAAACAATCACTATGCAATACAACAATACTTTTTAATATTTGTATAATGAAAATTCATTGTCATCTTTATTTTAAGGGTCATTTTGTTGCTCTATAGAAACTTTATTTAAAGGAGGGCAAAGTGTCTTTGAGGGATTTTAAGTGACCCCCCCCCCCCCAACACATTTATCTAACTCACCACATTTTTAATGAGGCAAATGAAAAGATGCGAGACAAAATCCACTAAAGTTAAAATAACTATAGAGACATTGCATTTCCTGCGAAGATACAGTGTGAATGCTTTTTGCAGAAGAACTTGCTGAGAAAAAGCTGAAATTAACTGAAATGTAGATGAAATGGAAGAACAAGCCTAAATTAGCCGAAGAAAACAAATACATATTTGGTGAAATGGGTTTAAATAAGCGGAAATTAGCACAAAAATTTTGTAATTGGCGAAAAAAAAGCTGAAATTTGCAAAAAACAAAGGGTTGAAAAGTAGCTGAAAGGCAGAAAGAAGCTTAAACTACCAGGAGGAAGTGGTAAGAGCACATTTTTGCTGAATTAGGCTGAAAAAGGTTTTAAAAAGTGCAAAAATAGGAAATTAGCTGAAAAAGCTAGAATTAGCATAAAAAGTAGCTGAAAAAGCTGAATTTTGTTGTATAACAAGCTGAAATTAGCAGAAAGAAGTTAGAAGCACAAAAATGTAGTAGTTAGCAGAAAGCGTCTGAAAGGAGCACAGAACAGCTGAAATTAGCTGAAAGTAGCTGAAAAAAGGTTAAATTGGCAGAAGTTAGCTGAAAGAAGCTGAAGCAGAAAAAATGTGAAAGGAGCAGTAAAAGGTTGTAAACACATCTAAAGATCTGAAGGATGTAAAATGAGCTCAATTCATTTTCTACGAGAAGAAACTGGCAGAAAAGGCTAAATATTTCAAAAAGCTTAAGTTGCACCAATAACGAAAGTCGTAGCAGGATTGTCCTGAAAGAGCTGAACGTTTGAAGATTTGTTGAAATAGCACAAAAACTGTGGAACGAGAAAGATGCTGAAAAATGGATCACAGTAGAGTGAACGCTTATGAAGCATTCAGTCCATTTTAAGTCTATTTTGGGCCAGAACTCTTTATTAATAACTTTTTACATGGTCTTGCTGATAGTCGGACAAAAACAAACGACCTTGAGTGTCCGACCACGTGTTTTACTCGAGGTTAAATGTTTTCACCACGTCTTTACGAACGGTGCAGAAGCTTTTCGTGAAACGAACTCTTCTCCGGCTTGTGTTGCAGGTGGCGCTGCTGCGCATGTCCTGGAGCGAGCTCTTCGTGCTGAACGCCGCCCAGTGCTCCATGCCGCTTCACGTGGCGCCCCTGCTGGCCGCCGCGGGCCTGCACGCGTCGCCCATGTCGGCGGAGCGCGTCGTGGCCTTCATGGACCACATCCGGGTCTTCCAGGAGCAGGTGGAGAAGCTGAAGGCCCTGCAAGTCGACACGGCAGAATACTCCTGCCTCAAGTCCATCGTGCTCTTCACGTCTGGTGAGTGCTGATGGGGGGTCGGGTCCTGGAACGTCTGGAAACGGTTCGCTCATCCTTAGCTACATCGTTTTCATCTGTTTTAATGTCTTTTATTTGTGCGTCTCAGATGGAAACTTTGCAGAATGTCAAAAAATATTTTGTTCAGTTGGAACTGAATCGTCACAATATTTTAAGCTTTAAATCCCAAATTAGCATCAGCTCTACGTTTAAACTTCCTTTAAGAAGGAACATCGTTGACCCAGAAGTTAAAGAACGGGAGAACTTCTGAAGACTGAGATGAATCTTGAGACTCAAAATAAATAAATAAATAAACATCAGGTCCGAGCTGGACTTCCTGTTTGAGCTTTATTCTGTTACTCACCAGGACTTTGTTGCTTCTTATAGACCAACTTCAGATCATTTTAAATATATCTTATTAAAATTCTACAGAGGTATCGATCTCTTTTTGCAGAGGGAAAAGTAGAAAAACTATTTGAAAACACAATAAAAATAAAATAAAATCTGTATTTTACTCTAGACATTTGGACAAATATTTGTACTTTTGTCCACTTTTTGAGTTCACATTTAGTATTTTTAGAAGATGAAAACTATTTATTGTTTATTTTTCATCATTAAGCAGCCATTCACATTAGTTCACATCAGTTTACACGGATAGGACGGTAACAGTTTTACTTTAATACAATCAGGATCGGTCCAAAACAATCCAAATATGATCCATTTAAACTGAATCTTTTCTAAATAAATCAAATACATGCAAGTGAATCTAATTACAATTACTCTAACTTCATACAGCTATTTAAATACAGCACATGTCGATAAAAAGAAACAATGTTTTAATCTGATTCATTCAATATTAGATATAAAAAATATATTAAAAAAGATGGTCCAAATTAGGTCAAAATTTAATTCAAATCAAAACAGTGCTTTAAAACTTTAATAGTAATTAAAAAAATATGTTTTCCAAACAAATCAACAATATTCAGTCAGGTCATCTGGACAGTTTCTTTTTTTTGCTGAAACGTTTCACCTTCCATCCAGAAGGCTTCATCAGTCAAGGAAACACACAACACAAAACTGATTCTTCCCCCAAACGGCTTACTCCAAAGTGGAACAAACTAGTTATGCTGGTGCTAAGATGGTGACTGTCAACAAGGAAGAGGGCGGGCACCACAGGAGGGGGCGTGCCAAAGACACCATCTTGGCACCAACATAACTGGTTTGTTCCACTTTGTAGTAAGCTGCTTAGGGGAAGAATCAGTTTTGTGTTGTGTGTTTCCTTGACTGATGAAGCCTTCTGGATGGAAGGGGAAACGTTTCAGCAAAAAAAGAAGCTGTCCAGATGACCTGACTGCATATTGTTGGATTGGATACCTGGATTATTGAGCGTGGACCTTTTTGGTTTCCAAACAAATATTTTCCAAATGTCAGAAATTATATTTATTTATTTATTTATCTAGCTCCAGGTTTAGACACCAGCTGCCCACCAAGAAGTTTAAATGCTATTTTCAATCCTGTGCTGACATAGTTTTATTCTTCTTTTATTTTTTTTTAAATTCTCAGCTTTTTTTTCAAAACACTGACAATTTTAATAATAATAATAATAATAATAATAATAATAATAATAATAATGAATTTAATTTGTAACGCACTTTTCATTAACAAAAATCTCAAAGTGCTACAGAGTGCAACTAAAATCAAAGATAAAATCAACTAAAGTTAGTATTAGTAATTAGTAATAGTAAAATATTTCAAAGCCTGTAAATATTTGACCAAAGTTCTGCTCACCCAAAGGTCCAACATTTACTCCAAGCGAAGCTCAGATGACGCCCGCTCCAAATGCAAAGAGCAGCTCGTTCACACTGGACAACATTTAAATAATAATAATATTTATGGGTCTTTGTGTGTGTGTTGTGATGCAACACATGAATTATTTCTTTTACAAACTGTCACATTTTATGTCGGTACTTCTGATATGAGCCAAACATTTGCTACGTTATGAGGCATAAGACTCCAGTATACTCGGGCGGACCTCAGTCCGCGGAGGTCCGCGCGTACAGGATTAGAGTCGAAGCGGACGCCCACAAGGCATGTCCGTGCAAAGATCGATTTTTACGACCGTGTACGCGTACTCGGTGTCGCACAATAAACTGCCCGGTGATGGACTGTTTTGTTTACGACAACAATGTATTAAATTCTCTTCTTCATCCCTGATCTGGCTTAATGGCCTTTTTCTTTAGTTTTTTTTTTTCCCCAAGAGGCAAGCGATCTCTTCCTCCTCCTCCGTTGACTGAAATGGTGAGAAATGAAGGAATTTGTCACGAACAAATTAAAATCAGTCTCAGCGTGGCTGCTGGAGGGTCTGGAGATTTCCTGGTGGGCTGGTCTGATGTGTGGGCTGCAGGGCCAGCACTCCCTGTTTTGTTTTGTTTTTTTAGAACTTTTTATTAACAACATATGAACATAGAACACCCCTGTCGCTTGCTGCCAGCTCTCATTTTTTATTTTGATTTTTTTGGGACCTGTCAATCCAGTAGGTGTGTCAGCAAATGACCAATCGGCTAACTCATTTTGTCCCGAAGGTAAACGCCCCTTGCCTGCGGAGCTGGTCTGCAGCCGATCAAGTTGTACGCTCAAGTATGAAGTCTCAACCGTCTGTGGACAGAGCGCACAGTTTCCGCGTGGACTGAGGACCGCCCGAGTCTGTGGGAGCCTTTAATGCCAAGATGGCCGCACGCAGCCAAGCGGCAGCTTCACAGACTCCTGATAGAAGTTTTCCGCTTCGACGCAATTTTTTTAATGTTCCTGTTGCTTTTAACATTTTTTTTTTGTGTGTGCCTACAATGCACATCCACGGTACGGGTATGACTGCGACACACTTGTGGAGTTTTCTGTGTCGCTGTCTTGCCATTGTGCCATCATGGTTCAGTCCTTCCAGCCTTGGGCTCAGGCCTGTCAGGGAGGCTGTCTCCATGATTCTCCATCTGCCTGCATGGACTGAACTCTACGGACCCGTTCGGTTCCACATGGGAACCTTTGTTCTCTGTCTGCCGGACCCGGTCCTGGAGGGCAGTCTGGGAGGCAGCTTCTTTGGTCATTGTTATCATCATGCTGTTGACAGGACCTGCTAACAAGATCCTCCATCTTCCTGCATGGACTGAACTCTTTGGACCCGCCTGGTTCCTTGGGGGAACCTTGGATGTTCTCTGCCTGCCGGACCTGGTTGTGGAGGGCTGTCTGGGAGGCAGCTGCTGCGGTCCTTGTTATCATCACGCTGCTGATTGGACCTGCTAACAAGATCTTCTAACAAGACCCCACCGCTAACTGAACCACACTGCTAACAGTACCATGGTGCCAACAGGACCATGTTGCTAAGCCCCTTTTCCACAGTTCTTCCTTGGCCCTGCTTTACCCTGCTCAGGCCAGTTCCGTGTTCTTTTCCACAGGACCTTCTTCATGGAACCAACCTGGTTTTTTCAGTACCTACTTCTCTGCGGTTCCATTGAGGCCAAGCAGGACCCTTAAAACATGTTGTCAGCACACTGTTGGTTACAGATTTGTCAGGGGGCGGAGTCACTGTTCGGAAGGCGGGGTTTCAGAAACTCCTACCACAACCCGATCCACCATTTACTTTTTAACTTGTCATTGTAAACAACTCGAATCCGGAGGAGCGTATTTTGGAGTATTTTGAAACAAACAATAATGTCACAACCGTCATCAAATGCTGAAGTTCAGGCGTTTTTGTGTTTGCTGGCCGACGATAAAGTTCAGCGCGAGCTAGATGGAGCGACGCATAATGAGAAGGTTTTTAAAGAGGTGTCGGTGCGTTGATAATGATGATCCACCCACTAAAGGGGCTCTAATGGGCACTGTGGAAACGGAAAATGAAGCGATCCAACCTGTACCGGCCCAATATGGGCCGATCTGAGCAGGACCTATGGAAATGAGGCATAAGAAGATAACCTCACTGTCATCAGAACCACTCTGCCAGTAGAACCATGATGCTGTAGATTTATTTCTTTTTCACTTTTGGCGCCTTGTTTCTGTATTCTTGTTGCATGGCTTGAATAATCCCAGTTTGTGTTAGTTTTGGGGTCGACTCCGTTCGCATTAAGCGAATTATAACCAAACATAACCTATGAGAATCGTGCTGCTGCTGTTTTGCACCATTAGTGACTGGCATGTATCTTAGATCTTTTAGCGTACCGTTTGGCGTTCTTGTAGCGTATATCTTAGTTTATATCTTAGATCCTTATTTACTGTTTCTTTTTACACTTTATATTTTTGCTGTTGTTGGATGTAACTGGGACCCTGTGTACACAATTTCATTCCACCTCATGTACCACATGTGATGTGCATGACAATCAAGAACTTTGACTTGACTTAAAACTTAAACAAATGAGGTTTTGGCTCTTCTGATGTGTTTAGCTTTTAATCAAACCTCATGAAATCAGGTGGTGAAATATGTAGGTGTTCAGTTCATTAGTAGATTAATCGGAATAATGTGTGAGATAATAGTAAATCAGTTTCACGTTTATGTCTTTGTGAGTTTTAAGTCTTTGCATATTTTCACCATTTTACAGAGTTCCCATATCATGAACGAAGACTTGATAAATCCCATGTTGTTAAAGGTCACACTCGAGTCCTCAGACTCGTAAAAGTCAAACGTTTCATTTATTTAATCCAGTCCAGATGGCTAATTCTGTGCACTGTGCAGCGCTGACACCTGTGAACTTTTGACCCGTGTCAGGAAGTGACTTACGAACTCGTGGAGGTGGATTCTGTCAACAGAAACGCCGCCTTTCTCCTGAGAGTGTTTACCACCTCTCAGACAGAGGAGGAGGGATTAACAGGTGGCTAATCTGAGTTCATTCTGTTAATTGGTTTATTCTCGTCTCTTAATTACAAGTTGTCTTTTGAACAATTTCACCTGTATTTGTGAAATTATCAATTTGTTAAATTTATTTATCTTTAAAAAGTGCAATTATTTGCAGATGATGAAA